TGCCCTCGCCCCCACCACCACCACGGAGCCGGCCCCCACGCCGCCCTCACCGGCCATCTGCTGCTGCTGCTCCCGGGCCTTCTCGGCGTCCGCCCGGAGGCTGGCGTGGCTGGTCTGTGAGCGGCACAGCTCCCGGCTGACCTCATCCAGGCGCTTCTGTAGGGCCTCCTCGCTCTCCTTGTGAGACGCCTGGGGGCCGGCAGAGGAAGGAGGGCCGGGAGGACGCGGCAGGAGGTGGGCCCTCAGCCGGCTCTGCCGTCTAGAGCTCCTCACACCCTGCCATCCTGTGCCGATGACTTATATAAGCCTCCTGGATTTCCAGGTCAGGTCACCTGCTAGAAAAGGCCAAGAGGCCACCCTGGACCCTGAAGAGCGGGCTCCTGGGGAAGAGGCCTCAGGTGAAGGCAGGACAGCCCCAGAAAGGCAAAGGCCCATTTTCACCTGAGTGTGGCACAGGGAGAGGCTTCCTACAAGCTAAACGTCCAGCCTGAGCTGGAGATTTCCCGAGGGGGCCTGGTAAAGGTCATATGGTTGTTACGCAGTTCTGGGCAAGGCATCCGTGTGTGTCAGTGTGGTTAATCCCCAGCCACCCCAAGACACAAGTACCACCACCACGCCCACATTACAGGTGGGGAAACTGTGCCTCTGAAATCTGGGCCTCACTATCAATACCACGGAGACTGTGTGAGCTCAGAGGGAGGAGATGCTCGCGGCCTGGGGCTTCCTGGCTACAGTGATGGTGACAACCCGGGCGCCAGAGTGAAGGCTCCAGCCCCGGAAGCGCCAGGGCCACCCGACAGCCTTCAGAACACAACCACCAGGCCCTCCCCAGGGGCTCTGATCTCACTACTCAGGGTGGACCTACTTTACACCAAGTTATCCATCTCAATTCCACCCAAACGATCCAAACTTTGTTTATCTGTGCCTGTTCTTAGGCACACACACATCAGTCTTACAATTTGGTGTCTGTCGTTCTAGTCCCTTCCATAAAACAGCCCCACTGCCCCACATGCTACAGCCAAGAGCTTCAGTGACTGAGCAGAAACAGGTGCAAAGCTGTGTGGGTCTCCGGGGTTTCCTTGTCCTCCAGAGAAGTTACACACACAGAGGTTTGACAACTGCCCCACGCCCGGTCACCCTGCCCCGAAACAGGCCAACTGGGGGACGCAGCACTCGTCGGGCCAATGAGCAGGGAGGCCCCGAGACTGAGGGGCCCACTGGTTGCTGCCCAGCGCCTATGGGGCAGGGAGGGGACAGTCTTCCTCCCTCCGGATGACAGGTGTCCCCCTGGGAAAATACGAGCTTCCGGGCCACATCCAGAGGCTGAAAAGAAAGAACACCCACCGGGCCTTGAAGCCAGAGGCCACGCCCGCTGGCCTGGCTGCGGCCCCGGAGCTGTGACACCACAGGTGTGGCAAGTGTGGGACAGTGACTGCTCTGGGGCTGCCCTGGGGCTCAAACCCTGGCTGTGGGTGAACTGGCAGAGTTGCTTAACTTTGTGCCTCCAATTTCCTTCTGGGTAAATTGCAGATAATAACAGTATCTACCCCATAAGGTTACAATGAGAATTACCTGAGTTAAGCCTGTAAATGTTCAGAACAATGCTTAGCACACAGAAAGCACCCACTCAATGCTGACCAGGTATCTCTACTAACAAGGCCAAGGTCAAGGGTTCCAGCCCCAGCCCTGCCTGGGTCCACTGCGGTCACAGTCACAGCTGAGAAGGGAGGACCCAGGGAGGCCATGAGTAGAGCCTGGTGGGCAGGATTCACGGGCACCGAGGCGGCTGCCCCCAAACTCACCTGCAGCTGCAGGACCTGCTTCTCGAAGGCGGCCGCCTTGGTCTCCAGCGCCTTCCGCTGCTGCTCCTCCTGCCGTGCGGCCTCCGACTTCTCCACCAGCTCCTTGCTGACCTTGCCCAGCTCCTGCCGGAGCTTGGCCAGCTCTGCATTCTGCCTGCAAGACAGTCAGGAGGCCCCCGCATGATGGACAGAAGAGGGCTCAAGTCAGCCCTCGCCAGCCCCGAGAGCCACCCCAGGAGATGGGACCGGAGGTCTGAGCCCTTCCTCCGGGGCACCTGCTCTTTCTTAAGTAGCTGCCCCAGTCTTGGAGCCCCTCTGAGGCCCTCTATATAATCAGCCACATGGGTGTGACATGTTTTGTTGAAGATGCCGTTTTACAAGCGCGGTGGAGGGACCAGCAAAAGCCAAGGGCAAAATGTGCACTAAAGCAGCCCACGGAGCCCCTGACAGAAGTGGCTGACTCCTCACAGCTGGTCTGGGCCCAAATGAGCCCTGGGATGCTGCCCTGCAGGGCCGGGGCCGGCGGCCCGCTCGAGTCCACACGCTGGATTCCCTGGCCTACTGGACCACAGCCAGGCAGAGAAAGAGGCTGCAGCATTTTACACGAGACCCCTCAATGCTGCACAAGAGCTGGGTCTCAGGACCAGCAAGGAGGTTCAGGAGTGACAGAAGGAGATGTGACTGACGGCAAAAGGGGCAGCTCCGGACCCGCCTTTCCCAGCATGAGGAGGTCGCCAGCATGCAGCCTCCTTCACAGCACAAAAGACACCTCTTCACGGAAGGACTGACCGTCCAGCCAAGGGACAGTACCAGACCAGGCGAAGGTGACAGAGGAGACGGTCCACAGCCCTGGGAGGCAGGAAACCTGGCCAAGACCAGCTCTGCCCTGCTGCCTGAGGAGGGGAGATGTGGGCTCCCCGTCTGCACAGGGGAGGCCACCCCAAAGCCCTCTGCGGGGCCCTCATTGGAGTCTTTCCAGGGCCAAGATTCGAGACTGGGGA